AAAATAAATTTTATTTTTAATTAGCAACAATATAAAGAAATATGGACATGTCATACCTAATATTTTGGGGTATTCCTCATTCTTGAGCCATGGTGTCTTTATTTCAACATGTTTCCATTTTTTTAAATCAATGATTGCCATATAAAAATCCTTTAACGGTCCTTTACCTGTTATTACGCAAACCAAATCTGGCAAATTTAACTCGCCATTTTCACATGCGTTCTCATATTCTATAAAAAAATATTACAAATGTAATCCTTTTAAATTATCGTAAGATTACTAAATCTATCCTTATTAGGATACACACCTTGTAATGCGTTTAGCAAAATTGAGAAATCTTCATCTTCAGTCCAACTAGTACTGGATACAATAAAGCCAGATCTTATGGGTGGTACATATATACCATATGTTTCAGCTAATTCTTGCAAAAACTTATTCTTCTCTGTTAAAGTTATTGAATGAAATTTATCTGTTGGTCTATCATATAAAACCTTTGCTCTTTAATAAAAAAAGCTTATTAAGTAAACCATTTGTTTTTAAAATGATATAATATAAATGTAACAACTAACACTTACTGGATAGCCCATTTCTTTTCCAAATCTTCCTTCATTGCTTTGCTGACACAGAAATTATTCTTTGCTCTGCAACCAAACATTGTCTCGATATTTTTTGATAATCTAACTAAGATATGGTTTTCTCCCAAGCTCAATGCCATGATTGAATGAGCATAATTATGCCAATCAATGGTAAATTGTGCCTCTGTTAGAACACAATAAAACCAACATATTGGAATGGTTGGTATTGCAGGTGGATTCTGTGTTATTACTGCATCTGATAGGCGTTTACAAAATAACAACCATAAAAGATCAGCTGTTTGCCATATCACTTTTATTATGTAACAAAAAAGACGTGGCAATTCTGAAATAATAACAAGAATGCAACTGTTATCAAAATTTATAAACAAATATAAAAATTGAAAAACAGATCAAAATGTAAATTATATAAAAAGGATTATGAGGAAATCTGTAAAAAGATAACAATAATATCTAATTCGTACTATTTCGTAATTCAGGAGGCGGTCGCAAATAGTGGATCTGTATGCGCGCATTTTCACTGATCTCCCTGATCGGTGATGAGCCGGGATAACCTACGACATCCACGGTGAAACCTTCTCGAGCGAAGGAAATCGCATGATATTGCATTCGCGGACTTCTGCCAATGTCACCAAGTACCAACACGCAAACATTATTGCCGGATTTGAATTTGTTCAGGTAGAATTTACGTAAAATAAGAATCAGCGAGAATAGCAGGAATAGCATCAACATTTCGAATGAGAACGGAATGCGATAAAATAGCTGATTCGCGCGAAGAACCAATAAAAATCGTGGATGATCACATCACAGTATATTGAGTATATAGAGTAGTACAATCACAGTATATACAGTAGCGCAACCCTTCTGATTTTGTTAGCTAAAATGGAGTGCGTGAAATAAGTAAGTTGCCCCGCCTCTTTTCCTCCATTTTTATTGCTCTCTCTCTCTCTCTCTCTCTCTCTATTTAAATAAGCGTTTCAATGTTTCACTTAAACATTTATTTTTCAAGCATACTTGGTTCAGAATAGAAATTTAGAGGAAAATATTACGTGTATTGTCCATTTGGTGAAATGTGTGAGAAATCTCGAGAGATTGATTTAATTTTTGTGAAAAAGTGATAAAGTGAAAAAGTGATCAAAAAGTAACATAGAAAATCGAGCAAAAAGAATTTCTTTTAATATATTGTATTTTAAACTTATTTTTTGGACATATGTATATACATTTCTTTTATATCTCTCAGCTTTCTCATAACATTTTCATAGATATATAATTACATAATATTTCTATACAAATATATATTTTTAAATTAATTTAATATTTTTCCTAATTTTTCTATATTTTTTCTTTATTTTTCAATATATTTACAATTTATTTTTATTAATTTTCATAAAGTTAAATTATTTCATCGTAATATTAGGTTTATTCGCGTCGCATGCTCTAATATGCTCCAATGTGTTCCTACAATAGCACTTGCTCACTTCAACGAATTTGTTGGATTGCGATGCGAATAAATCTAGTGAATTTGTGAGGAATTTTGACAGAGTGAAAAAAGGATAAAAAGAGAAAGAAATTTAGATGGTAACCATGGCCACAGTATACCATCTGATCAAATTTGACCCGGACTGGTCCATTTAAACCGCGAGCGTAAATTGAATCGGTAAAAATTTTTTTTTCTAGATTGGTACAACCTTCTCTGACATTCGTGTGAAATTTGAGCGGGATACGTCAGTTAGTGTGTGTTTGGCAGCCATTTGTTTACGACGCAAAAAGTTTCTCTGGCGATTTTTACTATG